GATTGGATACGAATTGCACCAGCATTGTAAGGTGGACGCCTCCTTTTATTGTATAATTATACATAATTGTGAATTATATGATCTTGTCGAAAAGTACAACATAAAAAATAAGGTCAAAGGTTTAGAAGAGAAAATTGTATTTTTAAATGTTATTTTTAACTATGATTTCTCTCAACTTCATAATTTTAACAATTATGAAATAATCTCTCAAAAAGAGAAATGTACGGTATAAAAGACAAATGAGGTATATTTATTATTCTTTGTATTTTTAAATTTATAGTTTAAGATACAATTTGAATGAAAGTGAAAAAATGTAAAATACAATTTAAACGTTTTATTGTTTGAAGTATAGAAATGTAAGCACGAAATAGTCTCTCAAAAGAGAAACGTAAATATATAAAAAATACAGTGTATTATATTTTAATCTCTATATTTTTAATTTATAATTAAAATTGGAAATCTGTCTCTAGTATTTAAATAAGAGGATATACATATAAAATACGACTTTAATGTTTTATACTACTTAAAACACTAATTGCAAAATTATATTTTAATCTACACAATGGGTAATAAAAAATGGCATATTGTTAATTTTTACTATTAAACATTTAATCGCTATTTTAATTACTAAAAACTAATTGCTAAAAACTATAAATTTAATGGCAAAATTTAATTACTGAGAAACCAATTAAAGTAAGTATTTTCGAAATCTGCATTGTAGTCTATAATGTAATTATTTCTTTTATAAAATGTACAATATTACATACAATACAATGTATATACATACAATTGCAATAATTTTACAGAAAACAAGAAATACTGCACAGAAGAATTTATACATATAGTAAATGTAAAGTGTTTTCTTCTTTCGGAAGTTGTGACGAATGAAAAAAAGTATTTATGCACCCTTAGTTTATAAAAGAAAGAAAGAGAAAGAAACTCATATCGCTTATGCGCAAGAGAATCTGTCTGGCGTGAAAAAAGGGGTAAAGGATAGAAATGGAAGAGGATCGACGGTTATGTATCTTTGCCTTCTCGGCAATTTCGCACGGTTACATTCGAGATTTATGGCCCGATTTCGATTCCATTTCGCGCCGCGGTTTGTTTACTTATTGGCATCCAGAATATGCGCGCGGGCTGATGTTACGTCCAGGTTTGTATTGCTTCGATGCTATCATCCAGATTTATCTATTGTGCTATTGAGACGAGACGGCGGAATGGAGATGATCACGCGATGCGAAATTCAGACGTCTTCCCATAAATTAACATCAGACTCCGATATTCGTGAACAGTACGATAATTAATGTGCTTTTTGTCTCTACACAGATATTAATGTACGCCTTTTATACTGCGGACAAATATCTTATAATTAATTGGAAAAGAGAACATTCCAAATATACAAGTAAACTTTAAAGATTAGTAGAGGAAAGTCCTCTATTGTGATAGAATTCTAACGTGAGATATAGGCTTTCAACGTCCAAATTCGATCGCAAATCTTTTTTCGCAATGATTACACGATCTAACAATTAATTTTCCACTAAGCAGATTTTACTCTAGGGGCAATAAATTCACGGTGGAACCAACAGATGACGCCTGTCAATTTAGCAAAAACTCCGCTATATCTTATTAGGAGCTTATCTCATAATAAAGGACTCTTTTCTCTAAATAACGCATATTCTTTAATACAATTGTCGACGACAATATAATAAATGAATATTGTAAGCAAATTTACTGGCACTATTCAAACTAAGCAGAATTATTATCTCTTCTTCGTTATCCTTTTTATTTTTAATTAACCAAGCATATATGTATATTCTTTATACTTGCTTATGCTCTTATGTAACTCCTTTTTTTTCATTTTTATTAATAGATCACAGTGTGGTTTGACGGTTTAATTAGAAAGCTTTATTGCTAATTACGAAATCGCTTCTGCTTCTTGAATGCGGTAATTTAATTTACCGTGTCGACATATCTCACCCATTAATCACGATATACGCATTATTGTTACACGGTATCTCTCACCGACAGGGACATTTCTATTGCCGTTATATCGTTGATTCTTAATTACTCTGAGCGGCATTAGTATTTATCGCATGATTAGGCCTCATATCGAATTATGCAGAATTACGGCGATAAAAGATGGAAATCGTGTTCAATCCCGTTGTAACACTGGATCGATAGGATCGGCAGCGTATTGGCTTTATAAATTCAGTACCGCCTGCACTGTAAATTGTGATCGCGAGCGAGATGTATCACCCGGAGAAATCGCCTTTGTGGTTAAGATAAATAATATTTTTCGTATATTTTAACAAAGCATAACGTGGTCATAAATATGCGTAACAAAGTTCTCAATTTTTATGTTTAAAGTGGTCGATAATCAATATTTAAAAATCTGTATCTTTAGATTCTTTGCTCTTCAAACTTTCCTACGATACTCCTTTTTTTTCCAACCGGAGAACAATTAAAGTTTTCATTTCTTAGTCTTTATATTTCCGACAGGAGTTGGTAGCGGTATTGGTGGTAAGATAAGGTATGTGCGAGTGAACGAATGGAACGAATAAAGATTAACGATTAGACACAGATCGTTACGCCGACGTATAATATTGCCGAAGATCAAAAGGTTGAATGGTTTATTCTTACATACAACATAAAAATCAATCAAACAAATTTTCGTCATGGCCAATACATACATATGTGTACCAGCAGAAGTTAAGAGCTAATGGAAGTTAGCATTCCAAAGAAGGTCTACGTGTGACTGACGTTTGCATATATATATTGTACATAAGAGAGATACCACTCAGCAAACACCAAAGTGACAGTTACATAACATCAATATAAATGTAATATAACACATGCGTGTTAAAGCAAACTTTGGCGTTCGCTGGGTAAAAAAAATATATATATATATATATGTCGTACGGAAAAGGACACTAAGATTCAGGATAAGGACTCCCTGAGATTTTTGATAAGTCTTCTTTATTATCTCCTATCGTAGGATACATTGCTTGACAAATGATTATACAGACGTACAATATCCAGCAAATCGTTCGCTTTGTATTTTACAATTTCGTCGGCCAATACTCCGCACCTTGTTCGCCTCCGTAACTATTTACAGAATACAATATAAGACCTTAGTTTCGGTATACAACGTGGAATCTGAGAGATAGTATGTCCGCCGTGTGTGTACGCCTCTATGTGCCTTTCTGTGACGTCATCTCCCTGCATCTCGGATATTTTCTAAATAATCGATTCCTTTGAACGGATTTTAACGCGGCAAAAAAAAAATTCTGCGTTATTCCTAGCACCGTCGAACCTTATTAAGACGGAAATCTGAAACTTAGCTCCAGATGTTTGTGTATCTTCTGGGAATGCATGATCGCCGGGAAAAAATGAGTTCATAAGCGAACCTCGGAAAACTTTAACTATGATTAATTCGCGGACACAGCAGGTTGCTATAAGCGTATAGAAAACTTTGTTTTGATCGACGACGCGCGCGAAGTTTAGAGAATCAGACATTTATTAAGATTTCCTCTGCTCGCGCAAAGAATTATTGAGATGATTTATGAGCGGAGCATGGAAAGGATTACTGTCGCATTGTACGTTACTTAGCAAACATCTTATATTTCTCTCTGCCAGAATCTCTAACAATAGTTTAGAAATTTCGAAATTATAATATTTAACCATTTAAAGCTTAACTTGTAAATCAGATATCACCGTTTACTTTCCGAAGAAAACGATTATTTATCGCAATATCTTTAGACAAACTCGACCACTTTGCTTTCTGACGTGCGTATGCTCTATGTGAAAAATGAAAGTGTATCTTATATAAAGTTCTGTTACGTACATCTTCAATATAAAGTAACGGTGAAAATGAATATCCCCTAAGTTCTATTAACGATAGAATCAGTTGGGTAAAATTAATCTAAATCCAACACGGACATTTGCAACATTTAGTTCCCTCCCACGTTGGCAAAATAAATCAATTAATATCAATCGGTATTACGTCAATAGAAAATTTTCCAAGTTCTTTCTTGTTGTTCAATAACAAGATCTACCAGGATTTTTCCACATTCACGTCTATTACACTCTAGGACAATATCGTATTTACAACCGTGAGCGTCAGTAAAAGCGATCGATAAGCGAGTCATGACGAATACGACTCGAAATAACTGGACTTGACATTCTAACAATAAATACTAATATATAATATTATCGTACAGTCACATAGTAATGCTATGTACAAGTAATATTTCATCAACGTCGTCGGTATGTACTGATATACTCACTTTTATGAACAAAGGCTTGCCAGGTTCGACTAAGTTATGCGTTATCCTATCGAAAATTAGTACGATTGAAGGTGTGAATGAAAAAAATGTACTTTTTATTTTACTTTAAACAATCATAAATTTGTTATAATGAGATCGGACGAAAATATATCAGAAATATGGATCAGTGTTACATGAAATGCGCTTGATTGCATTTGATACCAATTTGTGCTAAAATATTACATTACTGAGACACGGCACATTTTTGTAAGACTTGCAATATACAATGGAAGGACGGCAGAAGCAAATCTCGTTACATTAATTACGAAAATTGAATTATCGCGAGGATATTGTTGCAACTCAGATATTTATAAATGAGATTTCACTTCTCGGATATCTCTTCCGAGATTTCCTCTCCTGCAATTTCTCTTCAACGTTTCGCTTCAGTAGTAACGATAATGATTCCTCCGGACAGCATACACCTATTTTAATGTCTGCCTTCAACCGAAATACATAAGTAATTATTTTATTTTCATGAAGAAATACCATTAAAACCTTCCTTGAAGATGTCCGAGTTATGGGAACAAAGTAGAGCAAGCCGAAAACTGAATAAACTAGAAATAAACACATTGATCAAATATTGCTAACTTTGTGCGAAGTGAGTTTGCTTTAATTTAGCAGCACTTTACTCGGGTTCTATAAAATGATAGTTGCCAGAAGTAGCAGGAACACTAATTGCCCTCGGTAGAAGCGCAATTGAGTATCAAGAGACATAGATTCGACTTTCTGAAGTTTTCGAAAACTCGACCGGCTCACAGGCTGATTCGCTCGCAGAATGAATATGTAAGGCGACAGCAGAAAACCATTAATTCCATTAAGTCGGCCGTTGGAAGGTCGGGCTGGCTTTGCTTTCTTCCCCATTTTTTCCCCCCCAAGGTTGAAACGCACCGATGAGGCTGAATCCCGTGGCGTTTGACTTTCATTGGATATTTCTCGTGCAAAATTGTCGCGCTAAAGTTTCGTGTCGACCATCGAGAGCTTTGAACTCGGTTATATTTCCCTGGAGTACGACAGAGGAAACCGGAACGTAAGGGCGAAAGATGAGGAGCTACATAGGAAAGAAAATCCTGTGAAAGGAGAGAAGCCGGCCTGGACTTTTGCCGCATTGGGACCTCGTCCTGGACTCATAGGCGGCGTTGTATATGGATGGTAAAAAATTGCTAGCCACAATCTGCTATATATCGTAATGGTAATTATGCTAATCCAGGAAAATAAGGGCGCTTTCTTTCGCTTCAATGCTCGTAAGCATTCTCTCATCTCATAATTCGTTATGCATGAGGCTACAAAAAAAGAGAAATGATAAAAAAAAAACGAATAAACAGGAGAACAGAAACACAGAACTAGAAAGGTCTCTCTCATATTTCCAACATTCTTGTTTGTTGAGATAATGTATAGAAATCCTGCAAAATATAATAATATGTATAGAGTATCTCATCTCTCTAAGTAAAATCTCGCTGAAGAGATAAAGAGAGGAGTCTCTGAAGAGAGAAATCTCTCTGATATAAAATCACCGAAGAGATAATCAACTGATATCAATTAAAAAATTTTCAAGTGATGGACGCAAGATTGCTACCACAGTTTTTTTTGCTTTACTGTTTCCAACTTTCTTTCTCATCTCGGGCAAAGTGATGATACGATGCGATATATACGTTGTACCCCGATGTAGCCAAATTCACTTACATTTAACGAATTCAATATCCGCGTGAAAAGTTACGTCAAACTTTAATTCGCTTCACAAGTTCACCTTGTAAATGAGTCTATTATCTCGAGAGGAAACTTCGTGAAAGAATTAAAAGTGATCTAAAATAGCGCGACTAAAAGGAAACCGTGAGTCCTAAGTGCCATGCAAGAATATCGATTAATAAAACTTTAATCAGAGAGAGCGTTGTGCAAAATATCGATCGCGCGAGATATCCGTTCCGTCTTTGTTCTTTTTTTCCTTCTCTCTCCGCGGCAGCCTATCTTTAACCAAGGAATGCGGCGGTCAACTTTTAAGCATTTCCTGCGGCATTCGCAATCGTGACACGCCGGCGGTTATTGCACGATTCCTCGCGTACACGGGGACGTATATGGAAAGTTGTAAATAGATTCTCGCAACAAATCGCCGTAGCGCCAGCTTGGAGCAAGCGCCCGCGCTTCGACTCGAACTCGAGTGTGAGGAAGTTTGTACGGGCGGGTAGGTTGGATCGATGGCTGGATGGCTTGGTACGAGCACCAAAGTAAAGTTTGTCTTGGCTGCCGGCCACGACCCTCCATCGAATCACCGACGGAGTGATAACGATAACTCTAGCAACTGCTCAAGCCAGTATCGATTGTCATTAGACACCGTACGAAATTCTCTCGCCTGCAACTTGCACGGCGGGGTCCTACAGCCTTCTCAGCGATTCGCTCGGCGCTTTTAATATCGCGGTGACGTATGTACGTACGTACGATCGCACGAGAGGAGAAGAGAACGGCCGACAAAATCCCTTATACCGTATGATATGTTACAGGAAACAGAAGAAGGGACACTTTTCAAATCGCTCCGGGACCATTTCGTTCCTCTGCGTCGTGCGTGACAAGGGTTCCGCGTCAGGCCGGGCGCAGTTTTTACATCGTACTCGCAAAAGGAAACTCACCTAGTGTAAAAAAGTACAAGTTTCGAATTTAACGTATATTTTACTCTAGCTTTATATTAGATTTTAAATTATATGATCTATATCCGCGTAAAGATATGTAAAGAATATTTAATGCGGGCAGCATAGGTGGCGGCGTAATATTCGCCACGCACAGAGGTTGCCCCGAACACGCAACGAAAATAATCATTTACCGCTAATTCACAGTTACGCTTCGTTTACGCACTTTTCTCGTAGACTAGTCGAGTATCAATATGAAAGAACGGAGATAGTCGTCCTAAACGCAATTATCCTTAGGGATTAATGCCTATCCGTAAGTACCTTAGTTATTGTTCTTGAGCACAGAATTTGATTTCATTCATCCATTTGATTCCAGCGTCCAGCCGATGGCAGTGCAACAAACAACACGTTGCTAATACAATATTACAAGACCCGCTGCAATTACCGCTGAACAAACCATTTTCGTTTCCTCCGCCCGCCGAGAGTCACCAATCAGAGTATTCCGCGGTTCCTTTTCGCGCGTTCCAACAGTCAATGTCCTTTAAACGATTCCCGCGTCTCAGACGTCGCTCTCGCGCCATTCTCGGGGAACGAAATTTCTTTGTTCAACGACAATCGGGTTGCTATCTTCGCAGCTTTCCACGTACGGCAGTGTGATTGAAATTACAGTTCGGTAGAATCGCGAGGACGTAGGAAAAGTGACAGATCGATCGACAAACGGGCACGTGTGCGAGTAACCGTGTACGTGTGCACCCTCAATCTGTCCGTAGCTAGACGCGAGGATCGATAGCTTAGTTATGTTACAGACAAGAACGCGTTTACTTGGTGCGAACGCTTAAGTACGGAAATATAAAAAATCCTTACATGTCCCTATCTAAGTAGGCGTGTAGAAACGTTAAGTCGGTCCCCGTTCGCAAGTCAGGACGTCCTCGAAATCTCATTGAATATTAAACGGACGAGTCGCGCACTCGGATCCGCGGGAATACATTCCAGATCGATCTCGCTCGTGTGACGATCGCTGAGGGATCGATGTCAAGCGCAAGCCCGACATTATTGCAAATTTCATGAAAGAAACTTTTTTTTGCGGAAAATTGTTGCCGGATCTGCTGTTTCATTATGAATCGGACTTTCTCGAAAATGGATCGTAAAGCGAAATGGTGAAAGTATTTCCCGCAACAACTGTATCGACTCTCGAGGGAAGATCTGACGGATCTTCAAAGTTTACGGTCAGAGATACACGTACGCACGTTTTTGGCGTACGCGTGTTTTTTATTTATATTTATGTGGAGTTATTTTCGGAATTTTATCTTAGCGCGTGGCTTTTTTTGCGTCGAGCACCTAAAGCATTCGTCAAGACACCGCGTTTTTTAAGGCGTTATTTATATTGGAGAAATATCAATTTTTCAGTCGATTCCACGGCTTTCTTAGGAAACAGCAGCGGTACGTGACGCGAATAAAGAAGATAGGGAAATAAAAGAGGAGTTTCAACATTTCCGCGCACGAACAGCATACCGGCCGCGAATGAAATGCACCATTGCCCCTTGGGAAATTATTTTATGCCGGTCATTTGCTCCATTCATTTTATCGACGACGTAAACGTAATTTCCTGTCGTTAATGTCGGTACGTCTGAGTCGTAATGGATAATTACTCATGGCTTCAGCTCTTGAAATTTTATACTCTTCGTGATTTCTTCAATTAATCCGCATTACTTTAAGCTACGCGACGAAAAGCGGCTGCACTTACGAGCAGCTTCACTTTAGATGGCACATCTGTATCTCGGTACGCTTCATATCTTTAATAATAATTCGTTCTCTTAATCAGCATAAAGTAAACTTTGGCAACGCCATTTGCATTTATCCTTTCGGTACGTACATCCTGTTTTCGTGAAAGAGGTAACTTCATATTCCAGCAATATCCAGCAAACATTTATTAAAGACACTTCAAAATTAACCTGGCAACGTCTGGTGGAAGTTCAAGAAATTCCTACGATATTCGAGAGACTTCGCGTATCTTGGCGTTTCTTACTTAGAACTATATATAGTGTACTATATTTATCGAAACACGTGTAATTATAAATATATTACTTTTAAATTTTGTACAAGCAGTCACTTTTATACAAAAAATACCAAGTAACAATATTATACCGCGTTATCGCGATTTTATTTCAATTGTGATCGTGGTGCAGGTTTCAAGATGAAAGAAATAACAGAGCTAAGTGATTGGAGCGATAAAAAAAATTTGAAATTTTAGAACTTTAATTTTTATGTCAACTTATCCATTAGTCTTTATTATATTCGAGCGAAAGTGAGAGATCCATCTTGTGTCGATTTCAAGGAGGACGTCCTACTCTTGCGCCAACGGTTTAAGCACTTATTTTTGAATTTTTCGAACGTGTACCAGACAGCGCTCCGTTTATGCTCGTTAGCATTGTCACCAATGGATACGTAGTGACGATTCCGTCATTAATCGTTGAATTTAGACATGTAAAAATTTGGTTGAAAAAACGTTGCAACGTGAAAAACATTCACACAATTGCGCGCGGCAAAAAGATGATATTTGTAGATTCAATAAAATTACTGATTAGAAACTTTCTAAATTTACATTGGAAAATTTTAGAACGGTGTATATATATATATATGTACTCCCGATGAAAAACAAACATACGAAGTATGTACGGGCAATTTTACAGGCACCGTTTTTCCGTGATATTATAAAAGTTCTTAGCTGTAAATTCAACGTTAATAATAGACTCAACGAAAACGTCTCCTCGTCGCGATCTGACAACACGAGTTAGCATACATAACGTGTTACATATACCTATCCATCTGGGTTACGATCCGTGAAAACGCTGCTGGGTAATCTCCAGTTGATTGAACCCGGCCGGCGGACCGTCAGTCTCCGGAAGTCCGCGTCCAAGTTTCACATTTCCGTATTCTCCTCGGCCTCCTCGTCGACCTTGGGCAGCATGTAGACGGCAGAGATCGGCGGGACGTGATCCTCGAGTTTAAGGATCGGCTTGCAATCTCTGGTGACGTCCACCTGATTGAAGGTGTCCTTGAGGATGTTGATCTCGTTTTCGTGGGCGAATATATTGGTGGGTGGTTCCGTGCCACATATAGTGTTCTCGTCGGTGCCGTTCCTGTGGCACAGATTGCCCGACGGAAATTGTCACGAGGTCAGCGCGAACGGGTCCGTCGATAGCTCGTCTACGGACGAGCTCGGCTTCACCGGCTCCGGCTTGTCCGTCTGGTGGCTCAGCCGATGGACGATCTCGTCGTGGAGGATGTTGAAGCACATCGCCGTCAGGGCCATTCCCGACATTATGTAGCAGGAGCAGAACCAGACCGTCACGTTTCTCGAGCCGGCGAGGGTGTGGCGGGGATAAGAACCGGGCACCATGTCGCCGAAGCCGATGGTGCTCAGGCTCATGAAGCAGAAGTAGCTCGCGTCTAGAGGTGGGTGAAGCCGTTAACTTTCAGAGAGTACAGGCTTTTACATGTTTTTACGTATATTGCGCTGCGTATATTACGTCGCGGAATTTATGCCAATCTGATACGAGCCCGCGGAAAATACGGTCGCATTAATTTTTCCGAAGCGCTTTGAGGCTCACCGAGACATGTTTATACCGGAAACTATTGGAATCCATGCCGAGGAGTGACGCAACGCTGAATGCAATTGGTTTTTTCCCCCCCGACGTGGACGGGACTTACCTACGAATGACCAACCGTCCAATTTGTGCAGGGTGAATGCCCCGGCAACAATGTAGCACAGCATCGCGCCAAGACAGATACTGATCGGCGCGAGTATAGTGACATTCGGCCTGTCGCCCGAACCGAGGCTCGAAACTTCGTCCTTCGGGCTGGCCTTAATTTCCACGGTGCTGGTGAACGTCGATGCATTCGCGCGCACGTAAAAGGGCTCCTGCAGCTGTAGCTGTTGCTGCTGCTGCTGCGCCAGCTCCTCCTGCTGCCGCTTCTTTCGCATCCGCCGCTCTTTCTCCTGCGCACACGAGAAAAATACTCGAAAATGGAAAATCCGCTCATATCTGCGCGTCAACACACGTGAATGGCCATTCTACGCGTGTGCCAATTACATTCGTGTTCGCATCGCAACAACTTTGGAGTGAACGCCAACATCGTTTACACTCTTGTGTGTTTCGAGTGCCGGGGGTTTCGAAGGCTGATCCAATTTTATTTGAATGGCGCTCTAACAATAACCAATCAATACTACGGTGGCGATTAATCCTTATCGATCGTACAGGACACGCGTATCCTGCTGAAACAGGCGATGCATATGTCGAGCCGTTGCGACACATGCATCTCCCGTCACGTATACCCGGTTCGCTGGACGGGAGAGAAAGACCGTATCGCTGGCAGTCTGCGATTGAATTTTTCATCGGCTAACGTTGGCAAAATTTTCGGGGCTAGGCTCGCCGTCGCTGACCTGCATCCGCCTCTCGTCGTAGCAGCAGTAGCCGCAATTCGAGCAAAGGCAGCAGCAAAGAGCGCGCGTGAAGACGCCTCTGGCGCATCTCGACAGGAGACCTCCCGCGCTAGACAGGTAGACCAAGGTCAGGGGTATCCCGAGACTGGCGTAGCCCATCGTAGCAATTTTGCCCCAAGTGGACTTGGGCGCGATGCTCCCGCAACCTGCGAACACGGAATAGCGGGGAGAAATTTAAGTTTGTCAACAAGCTCCAGGTCAATGAGAGACAATGGGGAAGCATCGGGTAAATTGCAACGATATTCCTTTCGATGGGGAAGAATTGTTCCATTGTACGGTACAGTGGGGGACGGCGGTAGAACCGCGGCAGTTAATTTCTCGCAATGTTACCTCTCGAGATACTTAAGGGATAATATCCGCGGTGGTTTACTTACGCTAATTAACCACCGCGGTAATAAAAACTTTGCGTAATACGGGATCGCGGGTAAATTGATTTGTGTAAATGTGTGTACGCGCGCGGATAATGCATACACGTGTGTGTATGCAATGTGTATGTGTGTATACGTACATAAGCGCCTAAGGTGAGTTTGCAGACGATACGACGCGGAAAATACTTCCTTCTGGGCTTGAAGTCATTTCTGTCAGTGGGTTTAAAGTCTTGAATGAAAAATCAAATTTATTGCCGTTTGTCCCAGGGATTTTGCTCAGGATAATTCTGGCGCAAGTTTTCTTATTACAATTCATGTCCCCCGCGGGGAATCAAAATTGATTAAGTTTCGGGAAATCAATATCTAGGTCAACGGTAAACCCTGGCGCGAGAAGTTGAAACATAAAGCGTAAAAATTCGCAGAATTTCTTCGGTATCGTAAAAGCTTAAGTTTCGGCAAACGTCGATCAATCGTAATCTCCAAAAGCGGTTCTCGCAATCGAGCAGCGGAATTTATAGTGCAGCGGCGGCGCCCAATCGCGTTGCTATTCGCGGATGAATAAAAATATCTACGGAGGAAAACTTAACTAGAGCTTTTTTTCCAATTTCGCAAAACAATCAAGAGCGTTGTTTGATCAAGATACGGAGCTTTAATAAATTTTGACCCGTATCGCTGCGACGCAGGAAGGGAGGCCGGGCTGCATTAAAAGACTATTTTTCCTGTTGTTGATTTATAACGTAAAATTTATATCTGGTGACAGCTAATCGTTATCTCGACAAGTTTGTAGGAATAAACAGCGATATTTATACAATATATTGCCAGAGAGAAATGCCAATACTGTTGACATCTAGCATTACCTCAGTTATTTTCTCGCAAAATTTTTTACGATGCTGATCATTGAAAATTTCTCACGAAACAAATTATTAAAACGAATGATGCACTTTCTGTCATGAAAAATATCGGCACCTATGAAAATATGTATCGTGAATTATACCTATCGTGGTATATCACAGTAAATACGATAATAAATATCCATTAATTCCATCCATTGTAAAAGTAAAATATCCATTAGCTCTATCCGTGTAGCGAGAGATACGTACAATTTAATAATTATAAGACTTGGTATATTTCCCGAGGTATTTCTCTTATGAAATATTTTTTGTTATATATACAAGTAATAAATTTCATTGTACATGTGCATATGCGCGCTTGTATTGCCAAGAGCTTTTGATAAAATATTAACGTTCATATGTTCTAAGTTGTTTACATCAATTAATTTTACTAGCATGACGCGAAAGTTTCGCGAAAGCGGAGTAGCAGCAGCAGCAGCAGCAGCAGCAGCAGCAGCTTTAAAGCTCTATATTTTACGTACAATCCTGATTATACACGATCCCCATTTTTCCAAACAGAATAATACGTTAAGTATTGTGAGGCTATTTTATCGCCGACAAACAGCGTCATTAATCTCCGCGGGATAAATAGAAGCTCATTCTTCCGCGGAAATGCGAGAAAAACGATACCTTTCCAAAAACGCGCGAGCTTTTAGCTCTCTCGCGCGGAGCTGCCGTATTTGCGCATCGTTCAATCCCAATTCCGACAGGCCGACCTTACGGGCGAGCGATGGAAGCAACACAGAAGCGCAATATGCAGTTGCGCGCGCGTTTCGCGAGTCAATTCAAAAAAATTACGCGCGCGCCATGGAATAAAAGGGACGGCGATGGAGGAAGAGAGTGGAGCAGAGAACCGTGGGCGCGGAGCGCGAAGGTCCTGGCCGGGACCTGAAAAAGCGCTCGACCGAGATGCGCGGAATCGATTGCTCCGATGCCGCTTAAGATAATGGATCGCCTATCGGAATTGCCCCCGGTACGTATATGATAGCGGCAGCCGGCTGCATCTCGCCGATGGAATTGCAGCCGCGGAAGCTCCGCGGAGCGATCGCCAAGGCCTATTCGTCAATGTCCCGCCACCTTATCGTTCACGACGGCGCGACCCTTTCGGTCGCCCGTTATCTGTTGTCATTTGTTAGGGGGACACAGTAGATTGTCAGCTTCGGTTTTATTGGCCAGCCGAGTAAAAATATACTGCGCTCAATCTCTCTCTCTCTCTCATACACGCAGAAGTGCGCTTTGTCGACTACAAGTGCAGCGTCTTGGTTTAAACTGTATGCACATACATGTCTACGAAAGACATGAAATGACTTGTGAATATAAGACTATGAGTTAGACGTTGCACTTACATGAACGTCCGTTGGTATTGCGTTTTCTAATAACGATAAGCTCTTGCGGCGGTGATTGTTAATTTGGATATACCGACTAATCAACCACAAAGCGATAATAAGAATTTCATTTAACGCGTTATATAAATACATCTGAGCAAGTATACGTGTACGTGTGCACACGTGAATATAAATGTCTGATATAAATTTGTTTGGAGAACTGTGTGGAAAATGGTTCTCTCTAGCCTCGAGATTATTTTTATTAATAGAAAATTTTTAGTGCGGTTGCTCTTGCGTGAAATCATAGCACGGGCGAGCAATCGTTTCTAGAAGATATTGAAAACAATCCGCGAAATAAACGTGGGAATCAACGAAAATTCGACGCACCTGTGGCAAGTACGCGAAACGCGAATATTTTGATGAGCGGGTTTTTCAAACGAGATGATCCAGTATTTTTTCCCAGCATTCGTATTTATTCTGTGTATATTTCCCGCATGGGATATTTATATTGTTTCTCGCGCGCAATCGTACACAGTGATTAATTTTTAATTTATCGAAAGGTCGAATTGGATGGGTATATTTTTTTTATATGCAACGCCAAAGACGACGTGCGGTTCGCTGTAAAAAAAAGTATGCGGCTCCTCAGCGTACCTAATTATTTAATAATTAAATGTCATCTGTTACGATATGCCGCGATTCAATTTTGAAAAAGAAAAGTACCACAAAATCGAATGACCGAGCCCGAGGATTAAATTCTATGACAGAAATATTCGATGCTAGAACAATCTCTTTGTAACATAAAAGTAATACAGCATCTGGTCGTTTAAAGATGATATCAAGAATAATAAATCAAACGACCGTATCTCATCTCGCTCGATGCGGACTGATGGGAGGGGAACACCGACGTACGGAACAGTAAAATTTAATTATCAGTTAGCAATAACATGCGCTTGCTGAGTTACTCATTCTCAGCCGGCGGTCGCGTACACGCACCTACATAATTCTAACCATGGCAATTCGATTGTTGTTCCATATAAAGGCGCCGCCCTCGTTAAAGCTTATCTCAGTCTTCGTGGTGCGCTGCGAGGCGCAGCGATTTTTAAATCTAACAGAATATTGTGTGATGTGAAACGTTTTACACGTATAAAGAACAATCGAGTATACATTTTCCATTTGGCTTGATTCGGCCATAACTTTCTGCAAAATGATAGTGAAAAATGTAATAACTATTATTCTCGTTGTCATAACTGGAACAGCATTCGTGCGATGTGCAGCTGCGGCAGTAAGTTTATTATGTCGACACAGACTGTTAACATTTCGACAAATATATTGTGATACTGGTAACAATATGGTGGCTGTTGTTAATTATATACGTATATTATATTAGATGCGCATGCTATATAATTTTGTTAATAATTCGTGTAAATGGCTAAAGCGAGGAAAATTGTTAGATTTTTAAAAATAAGTTATTGTAGTTTGTTAGATAAAATAACTTTTAGTGATGTCTGACTCCTTTTACTTTCAGGGCAAGCATCGTCCAAAATTAAAAAAAGGTGTAAGTGAGAATGCAACTCTCTTTCAAAATAATATAACTTTATAACAATGATATAATTTTAAAATGAGATGAGATGACAAAGATGTGATGTACATTTTCTTAAGATGCAATTAACTTCTGTACGAATTACATATTGTAATTCGTTTTGATAAAAGATATTTCTGATTGAAGGGAATTGGACACAAACCGAATGATGACGTTCTACATGCTCTTTCGGACTTCGGCGTCGTACGAAGATCTTTGAACCCGATGCTGTTTCAACAATATTCAAACGTTCAGTACCTAAAAGATGAACGAAGTATTCCAAATACCGAAAACAGAAAGAACATGGTAATAGAGAAATTAGAACTGTCAGTGACATTCCGTGATAACATACTCTACATCTTCTCGTACTTGCTTCACGGTCTTGAAAGCGGATTGACAGAAGAGCAGTACACATCCTTGCAAACGCTTTATGAGTGCCTCAAGAAAAAGATGGTTTATATGTATAATTTATTGCCGATTTTATCTAAATTAGACACCTCCGATAAGAATCAGCAGACAAGTATCATATTGTTGTCGTTGACAAAGAATCTACCATCTTACATTCAATGCACAGCGAAATATTTGGCCAATGAGATAGAAATGAACAGAATCGATTTAAATGCGTTACTGAAGCCGACGGAATATGAGACGTTCAATTATCTTGCCAACATTGATTTAGACACGGTGTCGAAAGGTAAAATTAAAAACGAAGAAACGACAGGATCTGATAAATACTCGAATATCACCCAGAAAGCTCTCGGTCCGGTGTTCGTGAAGCTCATTTACAATCTACAAGCAAAGAAGCTCCCTTTGTCGCAAGAGCTATTCGGTTTGATACTGATGAACTTGCCAAATCCTAGCGACGATCCCGTATTGGAAGAAAATATCAGATTTCTGTACGATTTGACCAAAATTAATGCCATCGATAACAAGGATTGGGATTCGATCGGGAAGGAACCCGTGGGCAATGACGCATATACGCTTGTCTTTTCTGCCCTTACTAAGGTTCTCAGTTCAAACGTACAAATGATCATAAAGGATGCCGCGGCTTACGTGTACCATCATTTGAAGGTTGTAACAGTTCCATCTTACGTTAATTCGAACTTTAAGTACATGCGTCATTTGACTGAGAAAGACATAGATATAGGAATGCTACTCTCAGCAGTTATTCCTCAAAATTTCGATTCAGACGCGGTTCGCATGAAAAATAGCTTACTGACGTACTTCATGCACAATTATAGAAACGAGGACATGAATAAAATTCTCAAGGGATTCAACAAATTTGCCTACAGCGATCCCTTAGATCTTCTCATGGCGTTCCTAACGAGGCTTACGAATCGCGTTCCAATTTTCCCAAATACTAATTCGCGCATGCTGCAACAGCCGGCTGCGGCTCTGCTGTCAGCTTTAATTATGAAAAAGTATTCGAGAATTTTCACACCGTTTGTGTCACCTGAAGTTGATGTACTGATACTTTTGGAATCTCTAAATACTCCTGATGTCGATTCGGTATTTCAGTCAACAGTAGATTCGATAAAGCTCGAATTAATTGCACAGCCACAAATATCCGTGCTCCTGAGCACCTTGATACCAACGGAGAAAGACAAGTGCACGATACCTAAACAGTGCTTGATGGATACGTTCCAGCAGGTGCAAAGATTACAAAATAACATACCTTTGACATTAACAACAAAAATTCAAAACGTAGCGTATATGCTGAGGACAACTTCACATCCTCAGCGCCAGCCGCAAAACTTTCCTACGCAGTATTCCATAAAACCAGTAGATGTAAATCTCTATCTAGACCGGGAGAAGCCAGTATCAGTGGCAATCGAGACAGATAGTACGTATACGAACAATGTGCCAAGTGGCTTCAACGGAGTTCCGTACGTATGGAACATAGATAAATATGTTAGTAAAGTCGGTCCCGCGGTGCAAGATGAATTGCAAGTTGAAACTTTCGAATATGACTTGGGTGTTCCTACATATATCGAATCTGCGGATGCAAAGGTGGTATCAGTCTACGAGTCTGCACGTCCTACTACGACAAACCAAGTCCCCAAGGCACAAATCACCGAGGCAAAGGTCACCGAAGCAAAAGTCAGTGAAGCAAGTGTCACCGAAGCACACGTCACCGATGTACCTGCTCGAGAATATACGACACAACGACCCTTAACTATGAGACCTTCGTTAACATCAGTACCTAATATTCCGTCTGTGATTACTCATAGTCCGCCACAGAGACCGCGCAAGCAGCCCCAGTACACAACAAAGGAGAGTGTTGTCGAAGAATATAATTCCG